GGATTGTAGACTGCAGTGACCTACATGCAGCTACAGAGAGCATCAGAAACAGGAAGTGTGAACACTGCCTGCTGATTGGATGATTTTTTTCAATTTGTAGTTTCTTTTTTTAAATATCATGTTAAACTTAAATGAAGCAAATTTCCATGTCAATATCAGAGTATCAGAACAACCTGTGAAGAAACAAAGAAAGGGCTGCTTCTGTTAAGACAATTTTAACATCAACCAAACACAAATCAGTTTTGTCAAAAAGCTCCTCATCACAAACATGTTTGAACATTATTTAAATTTAATTATGACTGACAAAATCTCTATTCAACAGAGCTACTGTAAATGAGAAAAACAAATTGAAAGAAAATATTAGTTTGATTATTCTTTAATAATTTTGCTGTTCAAACAGTAAAACWGAGCTTTTTGACATTAACATAACACCATACTGTGGAAAAGTCTCGGACCTCATTTCTTTATCATTTGCTTTAAAAAGTGTTTGTAGATCAGGATTTTTGAAGGTTTCTCAAAACTTTTCTGAGGATTTTCACTCCTTTTCCATCTAGTGTAATCTGATCATTTTTAAAGGACTTTTCCTCCTGTTAATTAAGGCAGTAGAGACCGATCTGCAAATAACTAAAGCCTTAAGTATTTCCTAAATATAAGGAACAAACTAGTCTTTCTGTACGTTAAACAAGATTGTAAATTTAGGCTTTTTTATGTGTTTTTTTCCTTTAAAAAATACCCGTTCATTGTCAAACCAAAAAAGCAAAAGAAACAAATATAATTTTTTAATAAACAACTTTCAAGTTGTGCTTTTGCTCTAATTATACACATATGTATGTAAGTATACACACATGTATTTGCTTTATTTGCTAAACCTTGCATATACTGTATCTGCCAAATTTCTTCATAAAAACATCTTCATGACAGCCGTTACAATACAGAATGCATTCAGAAACAATGTAAGTGTTTGCTAAGTTGTAAATGAGCAGACAAGGCTGATATGAATTTATCACCTGCTGCCAAAAATTGATGAAAAGACGACAATGTTTTTGCTCGTATGTTGATTTGATTTTTTCTGTCACTTCAGCAAAATATCTGATGTAACACAGGACAGATTGAAATGAAAATAGAGAATATTTATTCATGTATAATACGATCA